CTGATCTTTTTGGAGACCTGTAATTCACCTTGCAGCGCTGCATCAATTCCCAACCAGCCCGGGGACCCAGGGGCAGGGCGGGACTGGCTACGCTTTCCGCTTTCGGTAGCAACTTGGGAGGTAAACCGGCAGGATTTTCTGAAACCCCATTATAATACTTGTGGTTATAATAGACATGGTTAAGTTATATAGTACTAAGATGTTGAATAGAATTGGTTATAATATGGTTAGTACTGCAGTAGAAGTTATAATTTCTATTACTAATGGTTATTACTGTTATGACCCGAGTTATACCAGTTATAAGTACTAAGAAGTCACCCCATTTATAAACTGTATAATCCCATTGAAATAACCAGTTATAATATGTTATAACTAATAGCCATTTTTCTGTAAAGGTGTCCGGAAACATCATATTTATTGATATGCTGATATTCAATTGGCAGGAAATAAATTACTATACATGGAAATGTCGGAAACCCTCTTAGATGTATTCTGTAACCGGAGTTCTCCAGAGAAATCAACTGATTTACCGACGGACCTCCATGCTCATGACCAACAAAAAAAAAGGATGTACTATGATGTACTATAACCCATAGGATCCATGTATGGTATGTATGCTAACATGACTGGGGTATATTGATGGGATCCATGTTACCATATATAGCATACTATGGTTTTTTTGTACTAGATATTTCTAGTTCGGGAGCATTTTTCCATGGGCGGAACATGTCTACCTCACCATTTCTCATAGCTCCCAAAAATGTCCATGACATGATCGTTGCTCCAAAAATCCCGGTGAATGTCCAGCGTTTTTTGGGACTCATCCCACTGGATGTCACTGGTGGCCTAGCCGCTAGCCGCTAGCCGCTAGCCTTGCCTGCCTTGTTTGGTAATGTTTAGTAAGTCCCATTTACTGTTGTTAATGTTTAGTAATTAATGTTTAGTAATTAATGTTTAGTAATTAATGTTTAGTAATTAATGTTTAGTAATTAATGTTTAGTAATTAATGTTTCATAATGAATGTTTAGTTGGGATGATTCTCGAACCATCACTTAAATCTCCAAAGATTCCCTGCATCTGCATCGGAGGTTTGCGCCGCTGTTCGAAGCTGCGCCTGAATTCGAGGGATGAGCCTCGGCTCCTGTATAGCAACCATTGCGCGTGGCACCCCACGCGCCCAAACCCGGCCCCAAATGTAGGGGCGGAAAGGCGGAAAGTGTGGAAAGATCTGATGATCAGGGGGGTGTTTTTCATGTGCTGAAAAACCATCATTTTGATGGGTCATATCACCCATAAAAATATCCATTTATGGTAAATGTGGGTATGGTTTACTATTGCTTTAACATCATTTACCATTTTTATGGGTGATATGATATGGCCATATATGGCCCATCAAGGTTCTAAATACTAATTCCTTATCTAAATACCCTCTGGTAATTTAACATAGCTATTGAAAATTGCCATTTATAGTGGATTTTCCCATTAATAGCATGGTGATTATCCATAGTTATGTAAACGTTTACCAGAGGGTACTATTTCTAGTTTGACTTCAAGGATTTTGTTTTTCGGGAACCATACGTAGTTACGTAGGATTCTGCCGGGAACAGGGTGAGTTCCAAGGACTTAAGCTCCAAGAACTTGGGGATTTTTGGGTCAAATCCTATGAATTCTTACCATCTTTGGGGGATTTTTCACGGGGGATTTTAAACATCCAAAAACATAAGCAGAACTGTTTTAGGGTACCTGATTAGGGTGCATAAAAAGGGTGCCATGGTTTTGACTCATAGCCGCCATAGCCATATTTTCAACACCACTTAAGTTGATACAAGTTGCTGGTTTGACTTTCAACATTTTCAACGTTGGGGCACATTGGATTAGTCCTGCTGGAAACATGAAGTTGCTGGCTATCACCAGGCTCAATGAGAATGGCACGGCTAACATCGGGGGAATTGACTGAAATCACCACCCAGTTGTGATTGGTTCCATTGGTTCACCAAACAACAACCAGTTGATGATTCTTGACTCTGTGGAAAAGAGTGACTTGGATTAAGTTGTTGTTTGCTTTCCAGGATATGTACCACCATGTACCACCCCCTGTTTGACTTTTGAGATGACGTCGTCCAATTTGCGGCTTGACATCAGAATCCAGACTACATACGTACGTACTGCAGGTGTATTTCTATCAGGGTGTGAAGAAAGTCAACTCACATTCATGACATTCATCTGTTCCAAACTCTTCAATTTTCAATCAGCATTCCCTTCCCCGCAATATCAGACATCCCTTCCTCAGAAACCAGGGATTATAACATATGTGGGACCATAGGATGGAGTGTTTAGATAATATGAACGGGGATGTGATTGTATTTCAGCCATTCATAACGATTAGTAGAAAATTAAGCATGATTTAACAATTATCAGCCATACAGTAGATGGATTCCTTAAAGTATGCAGAACCACCAGATTTGGATATATTTGGATTATAGTCCTGTGAAATCCCATATATTTCCATTAAATCCCCTATATTCCACTGACATCCCAAATCCCATAATATGGGACGTCCCAAATACAGTATTCCTGATAGATTTTTGTGTATAT